GCGCCGAGAAAGCTGTTTCCCGGCGCCGGGCAATGGTCACATTGATTCATTATCGAGGAAAAATGTGTATAGGTTTTTGCGAAGTTCCGGAGACTGGACTGGAGCGAAATTCCGGAGAGGTTCCGGAGGGTTAAGCGACCGGAGCGAGGTTCCGGAGAGGTTCCGGAGCAAGGTTCTGGAGAAGTTCCGGAGCAAGGTTCGAGGTGCGGAGCGGTTCCGGAGCGAGGTTCCGGAGAGGTTCCGGAGCAAGGTTCCGGAGAGGTTCCGTGAAGAGGTTCCGGGGCGGTTCCAGAGAGGTTCTGGAGCGAGGTTCTGGAGAGGTTCCGGAGAGTTCCGGAGCGAGGTTCTGGGGAGAGGTTAGGAAGGTTCCGAAAAAAAACTTTGGAGCGAAGGTTCCAGAAAGTTTCGGGAGCGAGGTTGCGGAGCAAGGTTCCGGATCCACAAAGGTTCCGGAGCGAGGTTCCCGAAAGGTTCCGGAGCAAGGTTCCGGAGAGGTTCTGGAAAGATTCTGGAGCGAGGTTCCGGAGAGGTTCCGGAGCGAGGGTTCCGGAGCAAGGTTTCGGATCCGGAGCGAGGTTCCGGACAGGTTCCGGAGCAAGGTTCCGGAGAGGTTCCGGAGTAAGGTCCCGAAGAGATTCGGGGCGAGGTTCCGGGGAGGTTTCGGAAAGGTTCTGGAGCGAGCTTCCGGAGCGTTCCGGAGAGGTTCCGGAGCGAGGTTCCGGAGGTTCCGGAGCGAGGGAGGTTCTGGAGCAAGGTTCTGGAGCGAGGTTCCGGAGAGGTTCCGGAGCGAGGTTCCAAAGCGGCTCTTGGAAAAGGTTCCGGAGCGAGGTTGTGGAGAGGTTCCGGAGAGGTTCCGGAGCGAGGTTCCAGAGAGGTTCCGGAATGGTTCCGGATCCGAAGTGGTTCCGAAGCGAAATTCCGCAGAGGTTCCGGAGAGGTTCCGGAGAGGTTTCTGGAGCGAGGTTCCGGAAGGGTTCCGGAGCAAGGTTCCGATAGGTTCTGAAAAGGTTTTGGAGTGAGGTTCCGGGGCGACCCCCACCGGGACAAGCTGTGCCCCGGCGCCGAGAAAGCTGTTTCCCAGCGCCGGGAAAAAGTCACATTCATTAACCATCGAAGACTCGAAGAAAAATATGTAGGTTCTCCCGGCGCCGGGGGGGCGCCGGGAAAGCTGTTTCCCGGCGCCGGTGAAAAATCACATTCATTTAATATGGAAGAAAAATGTTTAGGTTTCCCCGGCGCCGGGGGAAGCTGTGTCCCGGCGCCGGGAAAGCTGTTTCCGGCGCCGGGGAAAAGTCACATTCATTTACTATCGAGAAAAATGTGTAGGTTTTCGGCGCCGGGGGAAGCTGTGTCCCGGCGCCGGAAAGTTCTGGAGCGAGTGTAGGTTTTCCTGGAAAATGTGTCCCGGCGCCGAGAAAGCTGTTTCCCGGCGCCGGGCAAAGGTCACACTCATTCACTATATCGACAAATGTGTAGGTTTTCCCGTCGCCGGGGAAAAGAGTAACATTCCTTCCACTAGCCAAAAAAATATATAGGTTTTCCCGGCGCCGGGGAAACCTGAGCCCCGGCGCCGAGAAGGCGCCGGGGAAAAATCACATTCATTCACTGTCGAAGAAGGTTTTCCCGGCGTCGGGGGAAGCCGTGTCCGCTGTTTCCCGGCGCCGGTGAAAGGTGGCGCCAGGAAAACTGTTTCTCGGCGCCGGGGAAAGGTCATTCATTCAGTGTCGAAGAAAAATGCGTAGGTTTTCCCGGCGCCGGGGGAAGCTGTGTCCCGGCGCCGGAAAGTTCTAGAGCGAGGTTCTGGAGAGGTTCCGGAGCAAGGTTGTGGAGGAAGTGTAGGTTTTCTCGGCGCCGGGGGAAACTGTCTCCCGGCGC